GATTAATTTTTACTCTGTTTTCTGCGTGGTGGAACTATTTCCTAATGAGCAAGATTGAATGAATCATAATATAGTTATATATTATAGAAAGTTTTCTCATCTGTAAAGATACACATGTTCATACACATTTTCTCTCTCATACACTCGTATCCTCACCTGCACATACATTTCTTAAACTTCTAAGGAAGAAGTAATTCCTTCCCACAAAATGTTTTGGGAACCTAACTCTGGACACTGGGGACATATTGGTCATTTTGAGGAGAACAGTGAAATCTGTGTTAAAGAAGAGTACTCCAAGGAGAAGGTAGGATGGGGAAGGGGGTAGTAAAAGAGGGAGGAAAATTCCAAAAAATTCCATGTTTGATGAGATGAGATGATCAGTGACCATACCAGGCAGCATCCACAGAAAGGTAAAGGATGGAATTTAGCACAGCATTAAAAAAAGGAGGAAGAAGGAGAAGAAGCAGGCTGAGGATACAAAGTTTAAGCCTTGGATATTGTTAGAAACAAGGACTAATGTTCATTTTACTTTGTCTATTTGTACAATTCTGTTGCCTAAGTCTTAATTTAAGGACTCGGGAATAATTTCAAAAATGGTATGCGCTGTTTGTTTTTATTATGATAAGACACACAGTTACTGGTAGCTTGGATTCCCACTTTCTGGTTATCAATATTTACTTGTTTAGATACCATATGTCACGGGAAGTTCATGGTGTAAGGAGCGCCTCTCATTTAGCACAAACCATTTGCAAATAGGGGCCTTGGAACGATACTGTTCCAATTAAATAGCTTTAATTCTGATTTAGAGAAATTTCAGTTCTTGGAAGATGAAGATAGAAAACTGATTCCACATGCCTGGTTCACTGTGAACACTTCACACACGAAGACACCATCCTTGGTGACACTGTTGCTGATCAACACGGTCATTGATGGCAGCATACACTTTGTGGTGTGTCTGTGTAATTCATTTGTAAAGGGCAGGGGAAAAATGAAGTTTTTCTAGCCATCATAATTTCATGCTCAGGGGAAGCCCTGAACTCAGTCCAAAGGTTACAATAATGTTCTTAAGGAAAGGTCCACAATGATAGATGAGGCAGAGAGCAAGAGGTGGATGATATATAGATTGACCACAAGATTCCTGATGGTGATGATAAGATAAAAAGAGATAAGGGACAGAGCAGTGTAGTTGAACAATTTGGAGACAATCATCAGAGGTGAGCTCTCTCCAAAAAGTAGACATTTGAACCAGGAGGTAAAGGACAAGGAATAAGTCATGCAAAGGAAAAGCAAGTCTTGGCAGAGTAGCCAGCAACTGCTAGAAGCTGTGTTGGAGTGTTGGAAGAAAGCAGAAGCCCAGGGAGGCTGGAGATGAGCAAGCCCAGCAGGGAGTGGAAGAGACAAGGCTTAGAGTTGGCAGATCTCCTATGGCCTTGTTAGCCATGGGAAGGAGTTTGGAATGTATTCTAAATGGCAGCCATTGGAGGGTTTCAGCCAGGGGTGTAATTAGGAGAATGAAGGAAGTCTTTCTGAGGTTGGAGGATTGATTCTTGAATGGTGTATTGGGGTGTATTAATATTAATGACTATAGGAGAGGAAAATAGCCCATTGTGTCCTGAGCAACTGTAGACAGTTCTTTATGCTGTAGCTGGTGGATTCAGCCCTAATCAGTGGAAGAAGGATGGTCTGTTCAAGAAATTGTGTCAGGAAAATTGGCTATTTCTTTGGATGTAAAAATAAAGATTTCTATTTTTTCATTATCTTTCAAAATAAGCATCAAAGAAATTAAAGACTTTAAAAATAATAAAAATTGGATGGAAATATGGGGAAATTTATTATCTTTATGAACTTGAGGATTGAGAAGGACTAACTAAATAAGAACTAAAAAGAAAAACAATGAATTTGACAACATTAAGATGTATGACAGGAATTAAAACACCACAAACAAAGCTAAATATCTGAAACCAGAAGATGATATTTGTAACATAAATAACAGCCAAAATATTCATACAAGCAATGTATAAATCATTCCTATAAATAAAAACAGAAAAAAATAAACAATGCAAGGGAGAAACTGGCAAAAAATATAAAAAAGGAAATTCACCAAAGTAGAAACATAAGGTGCCAATAAACATAGAAATTCACCAAAATAGAAACGTAAGTGGCCAATAAACATAGAAAGCATCTATGATTAATTTAAAATCAGAAAAATGAAAATTAATATAACTAGATACCATTTTCCCCTATCAGATTGTCAAAAAAAGGTTTAATAGAAATGAAATCTTAGAGTGGTTTTGATTTGCATTTCTCTAATTGCTAGAGATGTTGAACATTTTTTCATATATTTGTTGGTTGATTGTATATCATCTTTGAGAGGTGTCTGTTCAGTTTCTTGGCCCATTTACTGATTGGGCTATTTATTTTTTTGGTGTTTAGCTTTTCGAGTTCTTTATATACCCTAGAGATTATCGCTCTATCTGATGTGCAAGGAGTAACAATTTGCTCCCAAGATGTAGGCTCTCTAGTCACCTCACTGATTGTTTCTTTTGCTGAGAAGAAGCTTTTTAGTTAAAAAAAACAAAACAAAAAACATATTTAAGGGCTGGGAGTACAGTTCAGTGGTAGATTTTGCGCCTAGCTTGTGAGACCCCGGGGTTTTCTTAATAGAGAGCTTGGCTGAATTAGGCAATAAAGCACACACACACCAGCTGTCATCCTCTTCAAGTACTATAAGTTACCTAGAACTATGCACAAAAATGAATGAATATTTTAAAGATAATAAAAACTAAATTATAAACCTATAAATTATAAACCTCACTATTGGGGAAAAACACATAAAATGCACAGATTTTTAAAAATCAATAAATTTGGGATGGGGAAGGAATAGTTTTAGGTTCACAGAAAAATTGAACAGAAAATAGAGAAAGTTACCAAAGACCCACAACCTCTGCACAGTATTGATAGATGCCCCCCTACTATCAATGTCCCTCACCAGAGTGGTACATTTTCACAACTGATGAACCTACCCTGACCCATCATTGTCAGCCAAAGTCCAATTTATATCAGGGTTCATTCTTGGGTTATATGTTCCACGGGTTTTGACAAACATATAATGACATGTATTCACCTCCGTAGCATCACACAGACTAGTTTCACTGCCCTAAAAATCTTCTGTTGAATTCACAGATTCAAAAATAGAGTCTCAAAAGATCCCTGGCCCCCTGAAGCCCAATCATAGCCTCCAAATCAAAGCCTGGACTCCAAAGAGCAAGGGTCTTCCACGCTCCCACTTTAGGGTGGTATTACTTGGTCCTGCCCCTTCCCTCCCAACCCTGGCTCATAATCTTTGCCCCACACTGGTGTAGACTTGCTGTCTACACTGACAGCTTCCACAACTCTTGAGGAAATGGCAGTAGACAGTTCTCTGCTCCATCAGGGACATCAGTCCCAGAAGAAGGGTCTTTCCTCTGATTAGGAACATTCCCTAGCAGGACTGTCATTTCCACAGACAAGTAAATTATTTACCATGACTACTGAATGACCATGTTCTATATACCTGAAGGACTTGAAATTGCAAAGTCATGCTGCTTCTCCTGTCTTTGAATTAATGGCATTAATTAAAGTATAAGAGACCCAAGTTATCCCAGGCTCATTGGGGCCAGGAAAAAAAGCCATTAGTCTACTTAAATGGAGGAGGGAGACCTCAAAGTTTTATTAGAATTTTATCTTGAAAAATGAAAACTAATAAAATTTTATTTTGTATTTGTATGTATTAACTTTAATCACCAGAACTTTTTTATATTTCTTAGGCCTAGCACAGAATAAACCATGTTTCTTCCTGCGCAATATTTGCAATTTCACGTTGCAATCAATTTGCATTATATTAATGATGTCCTGACACAATTTTACAAAGAAGAGAGAGAGAAAAAGAAGTGTAGACATGGAGAAAATAACTCACCGTGGAAATAAGGGGTTAGGAAATCTCAATGTTGATGGGAGAGGTGAGTGGGAAAAAGGGGGGGGATGGATATTTTTTATGTAATGATGACTTTTGTCTCTCCACGAAGTTTGGGGACACTCATATAGTGATGACTCTTTTTTTTATGTGTGCCAGGGATTGAACTCAGGAACACTCCACCACTGAGCCATATCCTCATCCCTATTTTGTATTTTATTTAGAGACAGAGGGTCTTGCTTTTGCTAAGACTGGCTTTGAACTCACAATCCTCCTGTCTCAGCCTTCCAAGCCGCTGGGATTACAGGCACGCACGACCACACCTGGCTGTGATAAATCTCAATTATATCTCCCACTTGTAGAAGACATAGGAATGATAAGAAATATCTGGGAGGAGGCTGGGGGTGTAGCTCAGTGGTAAAGCATGTGCTTAGCATGCACAAGGACCTGGGTTGAATTCCTCAGCACTACCCAAAAATGTACCGGGGGAAATTTGTCCTTCTTTCTTTCAGCCTCCTCATGGTCTCTGTTGCGAGGTTTTCAAAGAAAAGTGAGACAGGGAGCAAAGCAAAGGAAACTCTATCAGGAGAGAACCTTCTTTCTTTCCAACAAAAATGGAAGGAAGCCTTTCAAAATATATCTCTTTACGGCCCTCATAACCCGCAGCCCTGTGAACCACGGAAGCTCTGAGCTCCTCCAGAATGTCCCTATCCACAGCACCTGTCCTGATGGGTTCATTCCAGTCTTTAACCAAGATGCTAATAATCAAAGTGTCAATCAGCTCTCCTAGGCTGGCCTCTGGGTTAAAACAAACAACAATGCAAACTTTCCACTTCCCCTGCTGATGGTGCAGTCCTTAGAAAATGCCTTACACACAAGGTTTTAGGAATCTTCAAAATAATTCCAGATTTTAACAAATCACCACTGTCAAGCCGAGATATCTGCCATCTGGCCTGCCTGCTCGCCCATCATTTCAGATTTCAAGATTTCCCAACGTCTAACAACATCAGGGGAGTAAGGAAGGGGCTTTAGAATCAGAAAAACCTACCCTCCAACTTGGGCCCTGCTGCTTCTCCCCTGCCCATGAAGAGGCTACTCATCTTCTTTGAGCCTCAGTTTCCTCATCTGTAAAATGAGTAGAAGCAAAACTTCCATCATGTTGGTAGACACTGAATTCAAGTTAGCTCCATCACACACTCATGTGCGCGCACACACACACACACACACACACACGCATTTCTTCTCTTTTCCTTAGAGAGCTCTGGGCCTCACAACCACTGGGTATTCCATTACAATCTTTCCTGATCTTGGAGATGTGGAATTAAGAGGAAGGACAAGGATGACATTACTTTTCCTCTCCAGCTCCAAGGACAGGGGCAGAGGTGACCATGGAAAGAGTGCTACAAATACTGAGGAAGGGTCCCAGGACAAGAGAGCTCTGTTCTTCTCTAGAACTTTTTTTCTATGAACTAGGAGTTACATCAGTCATGTTGCAACAGTCTCAGCAAAACAGGAAAAGTCCAGGGTGCAAATGGCAGAGCTCCACAATCGGGAGGATTGGGGGCAGGGAGGGAGGGGTTCAAAGACAAGGGCTTGTGTTTTATTAAATCACGGCTAGAAACACAGTGATGGCTTCCCAAATACCTTTCCCTCCTCCTCACCCACATAAGGGAGAGGACCACACACGCCACTTTATTGAGGTATGATTGACATATAAAAATCGAAATCATCACCATGATCTATGCCATAAAACTATTTATCATCTTGAAAAGTTTCCTCCCTACCTTCTCATTTCTTATTAATGTTATTTTAAGTGTCCCTACCCCTGTCGCCAATACTGTCAAAGTGGTTCTAAGATAGTGCCAGAGACAACATCAGATTTCTTCAGAACTCAGATGTGTGTTACTTCAAGAATATAAGGTGAATCATTTGTTATCCCCTCGCCCCTCCTTTCTAAATAAAAGTCCATTTAAGAGAAATGATCCAGGCGCCAAAGTTTCCTAATTTGCTATGTCAGAAGCAGACAAGGAGATGCCTTATCTACAGATCCAGCCCTTGGACAATTTTAATAATAAAGTTTTTCCTCACCAATAAAAAAAAAATTTTCCTCATACTTTCCATCTTTTATTACCATCTCATATTAGAAAGAGAAAGCAAAAGAGAAATTTCCAACTCAACTCAAAAGAAAAAACTTTTTAAAGCTACCCTTCTCCTGGGGAAAATTTTCTTGCCAATTAAGTATGGCTTCAGTGTCCTATTCTGACTTCCCAGATCATCTGACATTAGAAATATTCCCAGACCCACATCAAGATCTGGCAGATCACCAGAAGGCAGCACACCACCCAGGTCAAGCTATCTATAGAATCAGAACAAAAACATTTCTAAAATTTACTCTCTTCAGTGATTCTCTTTGGGTGACCACAATGTTAAAAGGATATTGCTGAACAATTGTTCAACAGATAAGCAATCATTGAACCATTAATTCCTGCTTCTTTCTGTTTTTACAGTTGTTTTATTTCTTTGCTTTAGTTTTCAGGGTTGTACATCAAACTTTACTAACTTAGAATTCATTCATTGACAAAAATCACAGATGTCAAAGAGAAACCCTTAAGCAACTGTTTTTTGTTTTGTTTTGTTTTGTTTTTCCCTGTATTGCCTGAGTTAGACACTCCCACTCCCAGAGGAATTAGGTACTTACTTGGATTGTTTTGGGTAGGAGATGAACATCCAAGGTCCTGGAAGAATTTTGAGTCCAGTCCACCTCTCCAAATCCCAAGAAACTTTGTTAAAAATGCTCAGAATTTGATTTCACATTAGGGTGAGTTGAGGAAACAGGGGGGTGAGAAGGAGGAGGAGGAGGAGGAGGAGGAGAGAGTTCCAGCAAAAGCCGTGGATGATCACAGGCAGCCTTCCGGCCCTAGTTGAAGCATCTCTTCCTTGGCTCTGTGCCTCACGGACACAGATTAGTCATTAACAAGCCTTCCCTGCTAAATGATATAAACATTGAAAGGAACCTTGGGAAAGCCTCGAGATTCCCAGAACAAACCAAGAGAGCACCAGAGTAGGAAACATGACTAGGTGAGGAGCCCTGCGGCTCACCTTTTAAAACCTGTTCCATCAGCTGTTCTGTAGGCTCCTGAGTACCCACAGGTCTGCCATCATCCTCCGTCTCTTTATAATTTGTTTTCATAGCTCCATTCACTTCCCCGAGACAGGAGCTAGAAACTACCGGCCTTCATGACTCTTCCCTCTCCCTGGCCTCCCATATCACGTAATAACAGATTTTGTTGATTCTATCTTTGGAATGTCTCTTACTTCCAACTGACCCCACTGCTCTGCTATGTTGAGTCTACCACAGCTTCCTTTCTGAAGAATAACATTGATCCCATCCCTCCATTCTCTCCTCTTTTTCTGTTTTCCAAAACTGTAGAGCAGCATAGAACACAGGGTCTGGTCAGATGTACTCATTAGTCAAAACCGGAAGCAAGACATTGGCCTCTCTGACTCCTGGTTTCCTCATCTGTAGAATGGATAGACATAGAGAAACTCTCTCACGGACTGTAGTGAAAATTAATAGCCTAAGTAGCTAAAATGTTTAGAAAAGTACCTAGCATATCAAGCACTTGCTAAATTTTGGCCATTATTATTCCTTTTATTTTGGGTTGAACAAACATGGATGGATTGTCTGCCTACTACGTGCTCAGCAATTTGAAAGGTGATCTCCTAATCAAAACTCTCTCATGGGTTCTCATTGCCTAAAACTCAAACATAAAATGCCAGACATCTAGGGCTCGGTGGTAGAGCGTTTGCATAGCATGTGTGAGGCACTGGGTTCGATTCTCAGCACCATATATAAATAAATGAATAAAATAAAGGTCCATCAACAACTAAAAAAGAAAAAATAAATTGCAGACATCTGGAAACCCATTCACCCCCAACCATCTAGACTGATCTTTCTAGAATTTTCTCACATCCTGTCTCTTCAGAGACCCCAGCCTCTGCCCACCTATACCAAGCTCTCCTTCCTCCCTGACTTTGTCCAAGCTTTTCCTTTCAGGTAATCCTTAAATTTCCTTCCTTTCACATCCACACTTCTTCCAGGCATGGAACAAAAGCTGAGTTCTCCCTAAAGCCAGCCCCATTCCTCATCTGCCCCTACTCTGCATCAAACTTCTCTGACCCTTTGTGTGTACTTCCCTTACCATCCCTCCTCTTCTGACCTTGTATGATATAGTTTTCTACCATCTCTTTTACAAGAACAAACTTCCCAGAAGACAGGCATGGTAGCAGCCTTGGCTTGGTGTCCATCCTTGGCTTAGCATAGCACCTATCCCAGAAATATTGTGTCACTCTTTGTTAACTCAATCAATCAAACAGCTGGGAAACTAACAACTCCCCAAAGTGGAATAGCTGTGTGTGTGTGTGTGTGTGTGTGTGTTTCCCAGTATAAAGTCAGTTAAGTAAAAGACCTACATTCAAATCTGTCAGGAATGTTATCATTTGTTCCTCTTAGGAAACAGCTTTTGTAGGTGCTACAGGTTCACATTCTCCACTCCATGGGTTCCCAGGTCACTGCACCACCTCCTTCTGCCCTGCCAATTCTCCCTCCCTCATTTGAATGGGCTTTGAACTGACACTCTGTGCTCTGCAGCTGGCTGAGGGACTTGAAGCCCAGTTCTCCTTGGATGATAAGAGCTCACATTGTGATTTCATTGGCTCTAGCCGCAGTGGAGGTGATAACCATCAAAGCCACAGACTTTTGAGCCAACCACCTGGGTTCAAATCCCAGCTCTGCCACTTACAAGCTGTGTGACCTTAGACTTTAGGCTTTTATTTACACCTCTTTGCCTCACTATGTATTCTATGGGGGTGATTATAAAGATTAAATGAATCAATATACATGCCGAGTGCTGGTACATGGAGGGAATCCCACACACAGAAGGTGTTGTGTACACATTAGCTCTTTGTATTTTCTCTGGACATTTCAGTGCTGACATATGCCATAAAGAAAGATGGTGTCCATTCTCTGGATTCCTGACTGTGTACAACACTGGGCATGATTGTGCCTTTTCAAAAATTTAAACAATTATTTGGGTTTTTTTTCATACCATAAAATTAATACATTAGAAAAATTCTTAAATTTCTTTTTTTAAAAATATTTTTTTGGTCATAGATGGACACAATATCTTTATTTTTATGTGGTGCTGAGGATCGAACCCAGTGCCTCACACGTGCAAGGTATATGCTCTACCACTGAGCCACAACCCCAGCCCCTTAAATTTCTTGACACCTTCTCATCACCTCTATCACCATCACTCTGGTCTAAGCCAGGTTGCTCTCACACAGATTCCTGCCATAAGCTCTCAACTAGTCTCCCAGTTTCTGTGTTTGCACTCTACAGTTCATTCCCAGCACTGGGGCCAGAGTGGTCCTATTTTTAAAGGGGGGGAGGAACATGCCATTTATTCAACAGCCCTCAAGGAATTCCATCTTTCTCAGAATAATAGCCAGTCTTCTTACAGTGACCCAGGAGGATCTACATGGCCCTCCACATCCACCCCCTCCCACCCTCTCCCTTACCGCTCTGTCACTTGCTCCAGCCACATAGCCTCCTTGCCATTCGTTGAACCCATAAATCACAGTTCCTCCTCAGGGTCTCTGCACCATATTTCACAGCCTGGAAGCCTTTGGGCCCTGAGCCCTTCCATTGCTTTCTACTCAGGTTTCCGCTCAGTTTATCAGAGAGGCTTTCCTGGACACACTATGCACAAAATGCTTCAGTCTTACCTTACTTTATTTTCCCTCATTGCACTTAGTACCACTTGGCATACATTTACTTGTTCAATGTGTGTCTCGCCACATAGAACATAAATAAATTATCTCTCTCTTGTTGACTACTGTGTCCTTGATAATCAGACACCTGATACAATGTGCTAAGTCAGAGAGCCCCACAGCCTAACCACTGGAAGCTTACCTTCGATTGATAGAGGGAGGTGCTAAGAAAAAATAAGAACAGCAATAATAGTAATAAAGTAAATCACATAAAAAATTAACAACTAATTGGGATAAGATGGAAATGTCCAGAGCATCATAAAAATTTTATTAATCATGACAAACAAGAAATATGCATTCATGGGAATAATTCTATCCAGCCCAGGGAGAAAGAAGGGAAACAGGAACATGCATTTATTGAGCACTTAGTATTTTCCTGGTAGTCTATTAAGCACTGGCTACATTCAATAGTGAACAAATGGTGTGGTTTTCACCTTCATGCAACTTGCACCCTAGTGCAGGATACAATAAGTCAATAAGAACGACACAGATGACACTATAATGTTTCTTGGACAACATATTATGAAGGGTGTGTATGATGGTATTTATCAGGGACACTCATGTCAGAGAGGTTAAGAAAGGCTTCCTCCAAGAAGTGGGGTTTTAGCAAAAGACCTGAAGGACCTCAGAAATGTTAAGATCGAAAGATATTGAAGAAAAAGGAAAGCACTTGGGAGTAGTGACAGAGGCAAAGGGTCATGCAGGAGGTAGCTTAAAGAGCCCCATGAAATAAAGAGAGGACCAGCGCTTATAAAGTATGAGTGTGAAGAAGGAATGAAGAAATAGAGGTAAAACAGGAGGTTAGGGGGGTGATGTGCTGATAAATGATTAACAATTGCTCTCAGAGAGATGGGTATATATATACACACACACAATACACACATACATTTTAAATTTTGTTGATATAACAAATGTAACACCTGTTTTATAAATAATAATAAAATAAGCAACTTTTGGATGGTATAAATTCCATATGCCAATTGAGTCCACTGGGAATGCTTTCATGGAGTTTTGCTGAACTCTTATCCTTGAAACCAGCTTATGGTTGCACTTCAACCGTGATTTGATAAATGGAATTACATCTCAGTCCAATGATTCTTTTCCCAATAGTTACTATCCTGAATTTTATACGTGATCTACTATTGATAAAAGTTAAATCACACAAATTATTTTCTTTAAGCTGGACTCATTTTAGTTCCAATACTAATTATGTTGGACATCCACTTGTTCCTCAATGATGTGAACAACTTCAATTATAATTTTCAAGTGGTGGAGGAACATTTCCTCTGTTTTTGTTGGTGAAAATAGAAGTCACAAACATTTTATGTTTAATCTGCATTAACAGTCTCTCCATCATTTAGACCAGAAGGCAACAAACTTTTTCCTAAAGGGTCAAAATAAATGTTTTAGGCTTTGTAGATCATATATAGTCATATTGTAAATGTCTTCTCATCTTATAGGCTGTATAATTGTGCCTGCCCCCTTCATTTGTTGACCCTTTAGACCAGTGACTCTTGATATAGAGAAGGGGTCAGGAGACATTTATCAATATCTGGAAACGCTTGTGGCTGTTACAATTTGGGGGACATGTCATTGAGTAAATAGAGGCCAGGGATGTTACAATTCATGGAACACTCCTCCAATAGCAAAGAATTATCCAGGCCCAAATGTAAATAGTGTTCAAGTTTAGAAACTCTGCCTTAGACAATAAAAATACAATGCATCCAGTCTTGGTTTGTAGATTTTGCTCACTGCCAGGGAGTAAGTATTCTCTGTGGCAAATTTTAAACTTCCCATGTATTGTTACCAAACACAAAGTCAGGAAGAGATGCACGGTGACCACCATTACATAATATTTCCACCATATGGATCCAATAGGTGTAAATAACCAGGAGAGCAAAGATAATTATATAGTTAAATAATTAAGATGGGATGAACTTAGAGTGTTTAACTTGTTTTTAAAACATTTTTTGTTGTAAGTTTATGTCATTTAATTTTTGATACGGACGATTTTTAACAACAAGCTCAGAAGTTCCTGAAAATTTAACAACAAACTCTCAAGAGGCCAGGGAAGCTGGCTCCAG